ATTACTGTCAACGTGAATTATGATTTTACTGAATTTACGTTTACCCTTAGCCAGCAGTTTTAAATTTCCTTCAATGTCGCCTGCTCTGGCCTCTGGAAAACAATTGACTATGGTTGCCGGTGTCTCTAGCTTCACATGTCTGAGAACAGAATCACCAATTACCAGAGTTTAACATATGGCACAGAAACTGAACATTTAACAGTGTTTCCTGAAAACCCTCTCCTGTCTGATCATTTCCTGATAACATTTACATTCACAATAATTGATTACACAGCGGTGGAGAGTAGACTTTATCATAGTAGATGTCTTTCTGAAAGCGCTGTAACTAAGTTTAAGAATATAACCCACCCACTGTTATCATCTTCAATGCCCTGTACCAACACATAAGACATCATCATGTGAAACATGTGTGGTTCATTTTTTACCACTACCTTCTTCACGCCTTTTTAAATCCATCTGCTCTGTTTCTCAACCACAGGAGCCACTGTGACTGCAGTCTGCTGAGTCTGTTTGACAGAAACAGATTGCTTTCCAAGAGTTTCAATGGTCCATGGTCAGGAGTAACAGGGCTGAGCAGATCTTATGGAGAGCATTAAAACAGCTGCTGAGTGAAAGGATAGATCCATTCCACTATAGATGCACTCCAAAATAAGATTAAAAAACACCCTGCAGGAACTCACTGTGCTCCTCCTGTTTGTTTCCCAAGTTTGTGGACACAGCTCACTTGGTACAACACATGAAAGGCAAAGAAAAACAACTTCAGAAGCTCCAAAAACTGCAAACAAAAAACTTTCCATTCTGAATCAATGCCCACACCATGAGAACATGAAGACACCACAACCAGCCAGGATGAGTGGGTGAAGAACTTGTCAGACAGGTGCTAGCCAGAGGAATCAATTTGGTCATGTCTGTACAAAAGCTGCCCATAATGGGCCACAACAGGGATTAATACATTAATATAACTCAGGATAAGGTATACTTTATTGATCCCCATGGGGAAATTCCTCTCTACATTTAACCCATTCACTCAGTGAAGCAGTGGGCAGCCATTGGGCGCCCAGGTTTCTGGTCATGGGGTCACCACTCTACCTACTGAGGATGAAGGTTTCGGCTACTCTCTCCAGTTCAAGAAATTCTGTCTAACCTCACAATGTAAGCAAAGAAGACCATAGGAGGAGGTAAACTGCTGTTCTAAACTCAACTGATTATCACACCAAAATTACTCCTCAGTGACAAAAACACCCATGAAACCATAAAACGAGACCCCACAAAGACAAAGTCATCAGTTACCTACAACAACTTCACTGACCCCCCTACATACCACCGTCTGTACCCAAGGCATCCACATGGGTACAGACGATCAAATGTCTGTAACTGGGCAGAAAACTGTGATTTTGTTTTTAACAGGAAACAGCTCTGAGGCATTGTGGGAGAATGAGTTAGTCAGGAAACAAGCTGTAGTCTCAAATGGATGTTTATTCTGTGAAAGCAACAGGAAAAGTCTGACTTTGTGTTATTATTGAGCGGTCTGCTTCTGCGGCTGGTTCGGTAAATTTACGTTGGAGCGTGACGAAACTCGCAGTTTAGGAATTTGTGAAATCTCTGCTTTCAGAAAATTTACTGTTCGCTCGGGTAGCTCGTGCTATCGAGGCTCTGTTCTGCTTGTTTATAGACATTTCATGAAATGATGTGACCATTAACTGTTTGTTGTTTTCGCTCTTTGGTTTTCGTAGAAACAGTTTATACGAGCTTGTAGCTGAGATTCAGAGGTTCCTGTGGATGCCACACACGCCGGGACTTACACAGTCGTCCTCGGTGTACTCCTTTGGGTCCACTTTGCCTTCTTCTTTGTGGACTCCCAAAGATCCACAAAGGAGTCCCACTCAGACCTGCACACTGTTAAACCTCTGCCTCACTACCACATATTTTAAATACAGCGAGGGTTTCTACAAAAACGTGGCTGTGCCATGGGCTCATCGGTGTCACATATTGTAGCCAACATGGAGGAAGAACCACCTCAACAGGACAAGACTCAGCTGTTCATCTGCATCTAAAGGTCAAAGGTCACTCTTGAGGATGCCACCTACAATGCAGTCTCAGATCCTTCCCTCGCTCACATAAAGTGTTCTCAGCAGGTCACATGATAGGGTGAGGCAAGCTTTCTCAATGGTTTCTCGGATGATAATTCAATTCAATTTAATTCAATTCAATTTTATTTATATAGCGCCAAATCACAACATAAGTCGCCTCAAGGCGCTTCATAGATACAGAGAAAAAAACCCAACAATCATATG